AAACAAAAAACTTACTACAGTAATTAAGTCCCTAAAATTCAAAACAAAACAAACAGGCCTGTGTGGATGCACTGCACTAAATACTGGCGGACAGAACATTTTGATCACTCATGATCACTCACCTCCTGGCCTTACAATCTAGCAGGCGCACCAAACGCACACACAAATGGACAATCTCTTCAGCAGCAGCATTTGCCCAGTAACGTGATATGGCCACAAATCAAGGACCACCACCATCTCAGAAGAATCCTAACCGTCCATGGCCCAGCAAGCAATTAATTCATGGAGGGTGTTAGCAAGTTGTCATATCCCACCAGTAATGGCATTTATGGAGGACATGCGTGGTTGGAAAGGAGGCAAAGAGATCATGTCCTCTCTGTCTGTCTGTCTGTCTCTCTCTCTCTCTCTCACACACACACACACACACACACACACACACACACACACACACACACACAGAGGAAATTTTAGATGGGTATAAAAAAAACTATAGAGAGTGGGAAGGCATGGAAGGGTTACAAGCTACACAAGTAAAGAAAACATCCACACCAGGGAGATCACGGAGCTAACTATCTTAAAAAACAAGTCTAACACACAGTGTATTATCAAGCATTGAGAACATTTTAAATGTGGGTCCCTATAATTTTATAGGGGGTGAGGCATGGTGTCAAGCAAAGTGGGAAAATGTCTATGGGGCAAGATAAACCAACAGGGCACAGACAACAGGGCGGAAGTACAGCGTCAGACCAAGAAGCATTGAGTGCCACACTCTGCCCAGACACCTGGTGCTAACAGAGTAGATGGCCTGTCCTCGAGAGTCTCAGCTCACCATAGAGGCACTGACACTTTTCCAGACTGGGAAAGAGCCTATGTATATGCAACTTCTCTTCACCCAAATGACAGCTATCCAACTGTCCTGGGCTAAGCCATGTGGCCACCTATGCAAGGTAGGGATCCAGGCCCAATGATATTTCATCCCTCCCTCCCCAAGTCTGAACATGGACCATAACTTTTTACTCAGTCTTCCACAGCTCTTAGCTCACACTTCTGTTAATTCCCTTCTCCTTTAGACCATGTCCCCATCCACTCTCTCCTCTTGTCCATCGTCTCAGGAAATCTCTCTCCTTTCCCTTTTCATTCCACTTGTGAACTAAGATGCTAATGATCACGGCTCATAGGTTATAAAACATTGATAGCAAAATATTTGGTAAAACATATAGGAAATGCAAGAAAAAGAAAACTGTAAATTCTGAGGTGAAATCAGACAACACAAAGGATTAGTGCCATCAATTTCTAAGCAAGATTTCTTAACTCTGTGTGTGTGTGTGTGTGTGTGTGTGTGTGTGTGTGTGTGTCCTGACCCCCGTGGAAGTCTGGTAAAGCATTTAAAGCCCCTTCTCAGAATGTTTGTAAATACTTAAATACATAGAATTACAACAAAAAAATAATAATTATACAGAAATACAGTTTCAAAATTAAAAAAATAAAAACAAAAAACTACTTTCACAGACTTCAGATTAACAACTCCTGTTCAAAGCATTTACAGAGCTCTTTCAGTTCTGCTTGATTCTCACAACAGCCATGACAGGTAGGTGATATTATCATCCTCATTTTACAAATGAAGAAACTAAGACAGAGGGAGGCTGACTGCCCAGTCACACAGCTGCTAAGTGTCCAAGACTTCATGTGAACCCAAGTCTTCCCAACTCCAGGACCAGCATTGTGCACACTGCACTGCCTGGCTGCTGACTATTTATTGTATTTACTGAAATAGTTATCAAAACTTAAAAAACAAAACCAAACCTAGGTTAACAACCCCTGATGAAAGCTTATTACAGCGCTCTGAAGCTCTCCCTCATGGAGTCTCCATTAAGTTTCCATCTCCCTCTCTACCATCCTCCTATGGGACTTTACTGTTTTCACTGCCACAATTCTGTGTTATCCACTGACTAATTCAGCACGATTGTTCTGGGTTATTCTCATTGCAGACATACATGATTTCAGCTACATTAGGAACTTCACTTACATACATATACATACATTACATGTACTACATATTATATGTGTACGTATACATATTCATTAGGAACTTAGGTTACATATGCATATATACATATATATGAATAAACACACATACATGCATACATACATGTATGGATTTGACTTATTACTCTTAGAGACCCACCTGGGGCATTAAAAGGTTAAGTGACCTGACCCAGGTCACACAGACAATATATGTCAGAAGCAAGACTTGAACGGATGTCTTCACGACTCCATGGCCTGCTCTCTGTCCACTGTCCAACACTGCCTCTCAAGTTCCTCTTATCAATATTAATGAAATGTCATAAAATGAGACCAAGTTTTAAAATGAAACCTTCAGATGAGCCAATTTCTCTACATGTCTACCCTTGCACTTAAATATGCCCAGAGACCGCAGCTAAGTCACAAAAAGAGCAAAGACACTGAAAGATGGGGATCCAGCTCTGGGACCTGGGCTCATCACAACTGAGGACATTGGGCAAGGGTCAGTCAACTATAAGAGCCCTTGTGGACTCCAACACGTGGATCTAAATCCCTGGTGAACAAAAGCAAGGCACCATCCAGCAGCCTGCATAGGCGGCCGGCCTTTGCAGGTCGCTCCCAGCTCACTGGGGAAGCGCTGTTTCTGACATTAAAAGCTGGAAGAGAAGTTAATGCTACGAAGCCCCTGGAGGCTCTCCTTGTGGCTTGAGAACACCCATAAGGCCTCTGATGGTACCCATCACCTCTGAGTTACATTAATGATGTTCCTTAGCAAAGGAGTCACCATACAGCAAATACAGGGGCTCCAAATAAAGGAAGCTTGGGGTCGTTCATGTCCCCGCCCCATTACCTGTGTGGAATGCACCCCCTCTTCACCTCTGCCTCTTGGAATCCCGTTCTCTATCCAATGCTCCACTCCAGCACTCAGACAAACAGGCCTTTCCTGCTCCCACTTGTTAGCCCTTTCACCCCCATGGAAATTCCTTTTCCTATACGTGTTGTATTATCTGTGTACGTGCTGGTCTCCAGCGCATGCATGTATGCTTCTCAAACCCATGCAGAAACCCTTTGGGGATTTGGTCTTTGGATCCCAGAGCTCAGGATGGTGCCTTGCACAGAGTAAGATTTATTAAAATCGTCGTCGAGGAGCAAGCTCACTAGTTCAAACCTCTCTGGTTTGGAGAGTTTAAAAGGCTTGCCCAAAGGACACAGTGAAAGAAAAGACAGGACTGTAGAACTGAACAACCAGGAGCAGCTACGTGGTGCAGTGGATAGAGAACCAGCCCTGGGGTCAGGAGGACCTGAGTTCAAATCCAGCCTCAGACACTTGTTCCTTACTAGCTGTGTGACTCTTAGCAAGTCACTTAATCTTGACTGCCTCAGTGTAAAAAAAAAAAAGTAAATGTTTGCTATCTGCTAAGTAAGGCATAATCAATTGTATTTGGGGGGCAGCTAGGTGGCACAGTGGAGAGAGCTCTGGCCTTGGAGTCAGGAGGACCTGAGTTCAAATCCAGCCTCAGTCATTTGACACTTAGTAACTGTGTGATCCTGGGCAAATCACTTAACTCTGATTGCCTCAGCAACAAGCCAAAAAAAAAAAAAGAACCGAACTGTCACCACCACACAATACAGGCTGGGCCTTTTCCTTCCAGTGACCACCCCACCCACGCAAGGGCCCACACGCCAGCGGTCTCTGTGAGTTCAAGCATATACCTGTGTGGCAGATGATGGGAAGGGGACATGACAACTGACATTTATGGAGAACTTCAAATAAACAGGAGCTCAGCTCAAGCACTTAAAGCCCTCCCCATCCCACCCATCCCCTCCTCCTCCTCCTCAGTCATCCATATTTACTCCATACTAGATACACTGTATAGACACTACTTCGGTACAGAGAGGCAGCTGTGGATCAAGACCTGGGTTCACGTCCTACCTCCCACACATACTGATGTCCCCCCTGGGCAAATCACTTGTCCTCTCCCTGCTCCAGGCCACTCTAAGATGGTAAATTACAGAGAAGGTGCTGCCCTGTACTGGTACAGGAACTTTCCTCACCAGGGAGGTCCTTGCATTGATGAAATCCTAAGTCTTTTCCCTATCCCTTATATATGTACATGTTGTTTCCCCCACAGAACATAAAGCTACTTGAGGGCAGGGACCCATAATGGAGCATTTTCTTTGACTAGGTAGTATGCTCAGCATGGTATTTTTCCATGCCTAGCTACAGTAGGCTTTGAATAAAGGCTTGCTGATTTTTATTTCACTTGAACCTCAAAAGGTTCTACAGACTTTGGGGGGGCGGGGCAGATCTATGATTTTATCCCCGTGGGAATTACAACTGAGCAGAGAAATGAATAACACGCTGCCCTACGGAGTCAGCAAGACCCGTTCAAAGTCAGCCTTCAACATTTACCAATGGTACAGCCCGGGACACCCATGTCACCTCTCAGCCTCAGTTTCCTCACTGGGAAAATGGGGATAACAGCACCCCCTACGTTAAAGAGTTGCTATGAAGATGAAAAGAAATAGTATTTGCAAAGCACCCTAAAACACTACATAAATATTAGTTATAATTATTATTATTAGGTGTGTCCTGGAAAGGGAAACTTCCTGCACAGATGCATCTAAAAGTCTTAACAGAGGTGCCAGGAGGCACCCTAGAGAATAAGGTGTCATGCCCACACTAGCCAGTATGAGTCAAAACTAGGTAGGACTTGAACCCAAGCCTTCCTGATTCCAAACCTACTGCTGCTCTCTATTACACTACAATTGCCTCCTTGTTATTAATAGAGGTATTACTATCCCCATTTGACAGATGGAAAAACTTAGGCCCCTAGCCACAGCCTGCCCGGAGACAAAAAGGCCGTCAATGTCAGGGGCAGCATTTGAACCCAAGCTTCTGCTGACTCTAGGTCCTGAACTCCCGAAGGGAGGGGAGGGGAGGAGGAGCCTGCGGGGGGGGGGTTGCCGGGCCGTACGCATGCGTGGCGGGAGGTGCCAAACCCCCGTGCCCAGGTCGGCTCCTTCCTTTCCCTCCTGTCTGAAGCTCCCGCACTTCCCTGGCACTGAGCAGGCTCGGAGTTCGCAGGGGACTCCGCGGGGAGCATGGAGGCGGCGGCGCTCTGGATGACGGGGGGCCGGGGGCGCAGAGCTGATGGCCCCGAGCCTCGCCCCCCGCCGCCCGGTTCCAGTCCCGCTCCTACCTGCTTGGTTCAGCTCCATCTCCGGCTGCGGCGGCGGCGGCGGCGGCGGCGATGACGTCACTATAGCGCGATGAGGGGGCGGGGCCTCGGGGCGGGGGCGGGGCGAAGGCCGTTATCCCGTGGCTTTCCCCGCCCGGGGATAGGAGCAGTAGCGTCCTTGCTTAGCTCCGCCCCCTTCTGACCTTTCCTTTCCTTCCCCGGTGCCTACTTCCGCCACGCTCCTCGGACTCGCGCCTGCGCCGACGGCTTCGTGCCGCCTCTTCCCTCGTGCTCTCCCTGGCTTTCCTAGACAGCCACAGGAGAGAGGCGGGTGCGGGGAAAGCAAGGCCGTGCGCATGCGCAAAGGAGAGTGCCTCCCGTGTGGCGGAGCGCCCACCTGTTGAGGGGAAGGAAGAACCCCCCCGCCTGGAAGGGCAAAGAACGTGAGTTCGAGACCCTTTAGGCCTTCAGCAGGACCACTTACCCCCTAGCCTTTTAATCTGTGATAGAGATTTGGACTATACCTGTGAAATTGCACTGTCCCCTCTGTGGAGTGTAAGCTTCTTGAGGGCAGGGACTGGTTCGGTTTTGTGTCTGTGCCCCGAGCCCAGCATGGTGCCAGGTACCTGGAATGCCGGCTTCAAAACGTGCTTGGTGGTGCGGAGATTGATTACCATGACTTCCGGGTCCCTCCTGCACCAAATCCATAAATGGATTAATCCCCTTGGCCAAGGGGGGCGGGGCCCATGGATGGGCCGCCCCCGGGGACCTTCCCCCAGTCTCAGATCTCCTTGAAGGCCTGTCTCCTGTTCACCTGCCAGGTCGCTCAGGTGAATCCAGAGCTGTGGCAGTCTGTTGTTTTTTGAACAAGTGACGCCTGGCCAAACCTTGAGTGCTAGCATACATAATGACACGTGCAGAGGGCACGATTCCCCTGCCAGCGTGGAAGGCCCCCACACCGCCCACCAGGCACTGTCCATCCCGGCTGGACCTCTCCAGCCTCTGCAGCGACAAACTGAAGCACCCCCATCCTGAAGTCACTCCCGCCTTTCCACTTGCCAGAATCCTGTTTCCTCTTGGAAGTCTTTCTGGAATCCACTCCTTCCTCTCACCGCACCCCCAGCAAGCTGACCTTTCTTTGCCTTCTCAAATCTGCCCAGAGCCCTCCTGTCTACCTTGTCATGTGTACATTTGCATATACAGCCCGTCGACCCCCAAGTAGAATGTATGCTTTTGGAGAGCAGGGGCTGTAGCCTATTTTTCTTTATATCCTCAACAGTGATCATGGTGTGTTACAGAAAAAGTGCTTAATAAATACTTGAATTGAATTGATCATTGCCACTGGATGAAAGGTACCCACTCCCATAAAAAGACAGAGAATATTGCCACTGTGGAAAGCCTGAGTGTTTCAGTATATTTCCAGTGCAGCAAGCAAAAATTGGTCCAGTACTTTTCCCATGAGACCTCAGTCTTCCAAGAGACAAATTTAATGATAGGTTACTAAGATTTTGAATTCTAGGATCCGAAGGATGTTGTCAAAGGAGAAAGTTGGGGAAGTGGGAAGTTTAGAAATAGGGAAACATTAGAGTTCCAAGTCACAGACCAAAACTGGAGCTAAGGACTGACTACATGAGCATTTGGTGAGCTGAGCCAAGATGTGTCTGTGGCACAAAGAGTCCATAGAGAGCTTCAGGTCAAGAACTATGAGCAACCCATCAAACTCCTCAAGGCAATGAAGAAAGGATGCAGGATTTCCCCAGTTTGCACAAGGGAGCCTGGGAACTAGCTGCAGGATTGCCAGCTTCTCACTGCCCAAAGCAGAGGACATTGGTACTAGGTCATTGACTGGCACTGCATCACTGTAGTTTCACTTATTGACTTACTTGCTTAAAAATACCTTTGGTACTTTTTGGTTTTACATCCCCATCCTTTCAAGTTATCCCCTCCCTCCCCCTATGCCAAATGAGCACTTCTTTGAACAAAGAAAAATACACTGGAAGGAAACAAGATTACACACCAGTAAATGAACACAAAATGTATACAAAGTAATTTCAATGAAGAACAATACCAAGTGAGGGGAGCAGCTTGGAGGACAGAGCTCTTGAACTGAGCTCAGTATACAAAGGAACAGATAAGGAAGGACAGTAATTCCATGCATAGGGGACATAGGGGTGAAGTCACAGAAGCCGCTACGTCATCCAGGTCACATCCACTAACCATCAGTGTCCCCCAAGGTTCTGTCTTGGACCCTCTTCTCTTATCTTTCTATACTATTTTGCTTGATCTCATCAGTTCAGATGATTCTCAGATCTATTTGGCCAGCCCTAACCTCTTTCCTTGCCTCTAATCTCACATCTCCAACTGATTCATGGACATCTTAAACAGGATGTCCTATAGACATCCTAATGGCAACATGTCCAAAACTGGACTCATCTTTTGTTCAAAAGCGCCCCTCTTCCAAACTTTGCCCTTATTCTGAAGGGTATCACCATCCTTCAGTCATCTACCCTCAAAAGCCAGATGTTATCCTCAACTCCTCTTTCTCATGAATAGCTAATCAGTAGCCAAGTTCTATTGCATCCACATGTGTAACATCTCTCACATATGTCCCCTTCTCTTTACTGACATTGCTACCATCCTGAGCCAGACTCTAACCTTATGCCTGGGCTCTCACAATAGCTTTCTGATTATTCTCCCTGCCTCTATCCTCTACTCAGCTGTCAAATTGATATTCCTAATGTACATGTCTGACCATGTCACCTCCCTCCCCACTCAGTGTTCTCCAGTGGCTCCCTATTACCTGCACTATCGAATATAAAATCGTGTGGCTTTTAAAGCACTTTGTAGCCCGGCCTTTTTCTGGTTTCCCAGTCTTCTTACATCTTACCTCACTCCACATGCTCAGATCCAAGGTCACAGGCCTCCTTACTTTTTCTCCACCCCCTGATTCCAGGCATTTCTACAAGCTATCCCCAACACCTAGAATTCTCCCTTGCCATCTTCACCTTCTGGCTTCTCTGGCTTCCCTCAAGTCTTAGCTAAAGTCCGACTGTTGCAAGAAGCATTAACTGATTTTATGTGTGTGAGCACATATATATGTATATTGTGTGTGTATATTATATATATATATATATATATATATATATATATCAGTCTAGCATTTAAGGCCTTCATTATCTTGCTACTTCCTCTACCCTTCTAACCACTTCTCTTTCTCCTTTGCTGGATCGTCCTCTAGATCATGCCCCCTAACTGTAGGTGTCCCTCAGGGTTCTGTCCTGGGCCTTTTTCTCTTCTCCCTTTATACTACTTCACTTGATCTCGTCAGTTCCCCATGTTTATGCTGATGGTTCTCAAATCTACCTTTCCTGCCCCAGCTTCTCTGCTGACCTCCAGTCTCCCACCTCCAACTGCCTTTCAGACAACTAGAATTGGATGTCTAATAGACATCTTAAGCTCCTTATGTCAAAAACAGAACCCATTACCTTTCCCCCTGAACTCTACCCCATTACTGTAAAGGGCAACATCACCCTCCCAGAGCCTCAGGCTCACAATCTAGGAGCCATCCTAGATTCCTTACTATCTCTTGCACTCCATATCCAAGGCCTGTGGATTTCGCCTTTGTAATATCTCTCAAATACATTCGCTTCTTTCCTCCAGTGCTGCCTCCACCCTGGTTCAAGCCCTCATCACCTCATGCCTGAGCTGTTGCAATAGCAATAGCTGCTGTTGGGTCTGCCTGCCTCAAGTCTCTCCCAACTCTAATCTGTCCTCTGTTCAGCAGCCGTAGTGATTCTCCTAAAACACAAGTCTGATCATGTCATCCACCTCCTCACTAAACTCCAGCGGCCTCCTATTAACTCCAGAAGCAAATACAAAATGCTCTGTTTGGCATTCTAAGCCCTTTATAACCTAGCCCTCTCCTACCTTTGCAATCTTTTTACACCTTACTCCCTAACATGTACTCTTCAATTCAGTGACACTGGCCTCCTAGCTGTTCCATGAACAAAACCCTCCGTCTTTTGGCTCTGGGATTTTCTCTGGTTGTCCCCTAAGCCTGGAATGCTCATCCTTCACTCCCAAGTACTAATATCCCTAACTTCCTTTAAGTCCCAGCTAAAAATCCCACCTTCTACAGGAAGCCTTCCCTAATGCCTCTTCATTATAGTGCCTTCCCTCTCTTAATGATTTTCTATTTATCCTATATATAGCTTGCTTCGTATATATTTGTTTGCATGTTGTCTCTCCCATCAGATTGTAAGCTCCTTTAGGACAGGGAATGTCTTTTGCCTCTTTTTGTATTTCCTTTGTGTAGCACAGTGCCTGGAACATAGTGGGTGCTTAATAAATGTTTTTGAATTGAATTGAAAACTTTTTCATTCCATCCTGCCATGTATGTGGTAGAATACCTTAGGGCTTGGTGCTGGGCTATTTCCTCCCCATACTCTCTCTGTGACCTCATTAGCTTGTACTCATTCAATTGCTGTCCCTGTACAGATGACTCTCAAACTTCTATAAATTCTTCTCTCTCCTGAGCTCCGTTTCAGCGCACCAACAGCTTCTTGAATGTCTCCAAGTGGACATCCCGCACACAGAATTCATTATACTACCAACTACCCCTCCCCCCCAATCCACCCTTCTACCTTCTGTAGTTCTGCCAAGGGCACAGCCGTGTTTTCAGTCACATAAGCATTTTCCATTCTTCATTCTACCTCAGTTCCTATATCCAGTCATCTGCTAACAGAGCCCTGTCCGCATTCCTTCCTCTCCATGCTCATGGCTACTACCTTAGCTCAGGCTGGAGTCGATTTTTGCCTGCACTGTTAGAACAGACTCCTAGTGAGCTTTTTGCAGTCAGATTTTCCTTTCTTGCCAATTCATTTTTCAAACAGCTACCAAATCAACTTTCCCAAAGCTCAGGTCTGCTGCTCATTTCAGTTTCCTGCTCAAGATCTTCAAGAGATCTCTATTGCCTTTTAGGATAAAATACAAATATGTCAGTCTGGCATTTAAG